TGGTTCCTTTCCAGTTGTGCCTGGCAGCCGAGCCTCTCCACCCTCTCACCTGACAGGTGCAGTGCCTGGCCCTGGAGCCCGCCCGCCCGCCGGTCAGTCAGGGATGGGAGCCACAGAAGCCTCATTAGCATCTCAATTAAAGGTGAGCATGGCCGGGGGAGGGTCAGAGGAGGAGTCTGGTCTGGGAGCTCTCCAGGGAGGAGGGCTCTTGGGGACAGGTGAATCAGGGAACTGCCCAAGACTTTGGGCCAGGGATTGATGGGGAACTGGCTGGCAAGGAGACCAGGGACAGAAGACTGGTGAGGCTTAGAGAACCTGAGAGGGGAGGAAGGATTCTTCACACAAAAGTCAGGAAGGCAGAAGCGGAAGGAGGATGACAGAATAGCTGGGGAAACCAGGAGAACAGGGAAGGCAGAAAGAGGAGAGACAGGGGGACTGGGCAAAGAGCTGAGGGAGGATGCAGGAGGAGGAGGAAAAGGAGGGAGCCAGCCCCAAAGAAACTCCCTGTCAGGCAAGATAGCCAGAGGAGAGAAACTAAAGTGGATTTCCAGAAACTGCAGTCCCTTCTGATTGGGGTCCCTCAAGGTCATCCCAAGTCAGCCTCACAGCCAGGATCCCAGAGGAAAAAAAACTAAAACGGGGAGCGTCTGCTGGCTCCACCGTCTTCTTTCCCATCCTCTTCCCCTGAACTCTTCACCTTGCCTACCTGGCCCTGTCCAGGCCTGGGAGGGCCCCAGGTGAAGCAGGGGGCTGGGCCAGGTCCTAGGACATTCTGTTCTTTTTGACACCATTGGCTGCTAGGCCAGGAATGTGTAATGTCCCCTGTTGTGGTCACAGGGTTGCAGGAATGTGGGCACCAGAGGTAATATGGGCGTGGGGGCCAGGCAGAGCTCTGAGGGCACAGACCAAGAGCCCAGGGAAAGACGGGAATGACAGGCACTGGAAGAGAACAAGAACTATGTCCATGCTGGTATCTGGGGCAAGGAGGGTAGACACACTGTCCTAGAAGGAAGAAGAGGCTACTTCATCAGGCATGTGTTGTCCTCCAAAAATCACCCTCTCAACCTAACCCAGCAAGAAAGGACAAATGCAAGCATCCAGTCAGTAGTGAGCACACAGGTTTGGAAGCCCCAGAGGCTCAGACCCAAAAAGAAGGTGCAAGGAGCCATTCACACAGCCCAGGCCCTGGTGGTGGTGATATCAGCACTTGAGTCCTATGGAAGGCAGCCCCCGGTGCTCACTGGCTCTTCCTACCACATACCCTCCCTCCAGCAGCAAAAGACATAAGTGCTCTCTGTGCCCCAGACCTGCAGACACAGACCTGAGCATCTGGAGAGGCTCATGGGAAGAACTAGCTCTGCATAACAAGTAGTTGAAATGGGGTAAGATAAGGATTCTGGAGGTGGGGATAAGCAAGTGCTGGGGGACCCCGGGGGAGGCAGGAGGAGGGAGGCATTTCAAGTGACGCATGGGGACTGGCATTGCAGATGGATCCTGAAGAACAAGGTACTCACTAGACAAAGAAAAGGGTCCCCCTTACCTCATCCTGAAAACAAGAGCCTGTGGACCAGGTTTCCAACTGCTAGCTAAGCACACACACACACTCCTGAAACCTCCCATAAGAAGAGGGAGGCTGGGTTTTCATTTTTTCAGATGAAGAAACTGACCCTCCAAAACAACAAACCAGTCCTCTGAAGTCACAGAGCAAAAGAGCAACAGTTACAAACAGAATTCGAAACTTCTTCTCTGAGATTGCCTCTTGCTATTTACCTTCTGAGACAGACCAGCCAAAGACTCCTGGGAACCAGGCCACCAGGAGGGTCTCAGGTATTCCCACATGAAGCCCATGGACTAATCAGATCTCGAGGTACTGTCTCCTTGGCTGTGTATGTCTAAACTGTTCTAACCCCTTCATTTCCCCAGCCATCCTTTGAAACTCCATTCTCCTTTGAATCAAGTCCTTAAACTAGTGCCCTACAGGGAAGGTGCCCTGACTGTTTGATCTGTGAGGTTCTGAGAAACTAGCTCCTCCCTGCCTCTTCTGTTTACTAACTGGGCTTGAAACCCAAGTACTGGCTTAAGGCAGCATGATAAATAGTTTTCATCTCAAGGACTCTGTGAGAATGTCTGGTCTGAAGAGTGTGGTGACTCTGGCAAGTCCTGACAGAGTACAATAGTGGCTTGGCTTAGAGGCCACAGTATTAGAGATCTGGAATGGGCCAGTGCAAGCCTGTTGTGAGAATAGATATTTGAAGCCTGTACTTTGGTCAGAGCCCCATTTCAAATATCACACACACACACACACACACACACTTTTACTCCAAACCAGGGGATGCTTCTGTAGCCCATGCTGGCGGCCTGGAACTCATAGTAGTATTCCTGCCTCAGCTTTCCAAGTGCTGGGACTGTGGATACATTTTTGTCATTGTAGTTTCCCAGCAGTGCAGAAGCACATGAAACAATAAGAGCTTCCTGCTGTCCTATTTCTTTCCTTCCCCCAGCCCAAAGGGACCCACTATGACTTGTTCATCTACTGATTCTTTCTGTATGTCTTTTAGACTTACATGGTTTGCTTTGACTTGTTTTTTGAGACAGGGTTTCTCTGTGTAGCTTTGGAGCCTCTCCTAGAACTTGCTCTGTAGACCAGGCTGGCCTCAAACTCACAGAGATCCTCCTGCTCCTGAGAACTGGGATTAAAGGCGTGCGCCACCATGCCCAGCTAGACTTACATGTTTTGTTGTGTTATATATTGAGACAGGGTTTCAATGTACAACTGTCCTAAACTTGCTTTATAACCCATACTGGCCTTGAATTCATGATCCTTCTGCCTCAGCCTCTCAAGCAGTACATGTATTTACAAACAAACAAGCAAACAAAAAAAAGTAAGTGGGATCATATCATAGGTAACTATGACGTCCATTGTTTTGTTTGTTGTTTGTTTATTTATTAATTCATTGTTTGTTGGGTTTTTTTTCTAGACAAGGTTTCTCTGTGTAACAGCTCTGGCTGGCCTGGAACTCCCTTTGTAGACCAGGCTGGCCTTGAATTCACAAAGATCCACCTGCTTCTGCTTCCTGAGTGCTGGGATTAAAGGATTAAAGGCTTGTACCATCACTGCCAGGCTCTATTTTTGTTTTAAAACTGTCTTTTGAAAAGACATTTCTAAATTGAACATAGTGATGCATCCTTTAGTCACAGCACTTGAGAGGCACAGGCAGGTGGATCTCTGTAAGTTCAAGGGCAGCCAGCCTAATGTACACAGTGAGTGCTATGATAGCCAAAGACTCTGTCTTTTAAAAGGAAGGAAGGAAGAAAAGGAAGGGAGGGAGGGAGGGCGGGCGGGAGGACGTTTTTTTTTTGTTGTTGTTTTTTTTTTGGTTTTTTTTTTTTTACCTCTAAGGTCCCTAGGGCACTCATTTGGAAAAATGAAGGAGCAGGAGGTGGTGTGTCAGGCTGCGCAGTGTCAAAGGCTCTGCCCGCTGACTGCACTTAGCCCCTTGTTCAGTACATGGGGGAATCTAAGGCTTCAGGGCCACCCAGGGTTGAGGTGAATTGTTTTCCAAGTCTGGTGCTGCTTGCTTTCCTGACTTCCAGAAGAGTATCCTATGGCATGTCAGGGGTCTTTTTACCTTGCCTCAGAAAGATCCCCTCTCCCAGGGCTTCCTGTTGCCTCTCCCAGAGCCCCAAACCATCCCTTTCCTGCTCCATACCAGCCACCCGCCAACTGTTAGTATGGCCATAAACGATGCAGTAGCTATAGGGAAAGACGTGAACCGTCAGGGTCTGCAGCGGGTGGGCATTAGGATTGACAGGCCTTCCTGCCTCTTCATCCCAGAGACAGATGTCTGGAAGGGACTGCTTTCTCCTCATAGTCCCAAGGAAAGCCTACCTCAGCACCTCTGATGTTTATGGTTAATGCACTGGCCCTCATATGCACCTGTGTTTATATGAACATGCCTACACGTGTGTAGATCATATTATCAATTCTCTGAGGACAAGCACCAGGCTTATTTATCTTGGTGGCCTCAGTGACTAGTGGTTACTATTTTTGTTTTGTTTCTGAGACACCCACTCTGTGGCCCAGGCTGCTCTCAAACTCCCCGATCCTCCTGCCTCATCCTCCAAGTGCTAAAGTTACAAAAGTATGCCACCATGTCCAACTTAATGGTCACTACTTGTTGACTCACTCTATAGACAGCAGAATTTAACATCTTGGCTAGGATCCAAGGTTTATCTTTGGCAGAGAGGCATGCGCACTGGGGAAACATCATACTTCTTGACTTCCTCAGATAGCGCACTGATTACGTGGTCTGTTAATTTATCGAAATTTCCTTCACTTTCCCCTTTTCAGCTTATATGCTTTCTAGGATAAAAACGGGCCACCACTTAAATGAACCCCTTTACTCTTATATTTGGTGCTTACTGCAGGGCTGCCTAGTGTGGCAAACAGCATCCTTATATGTTCTTTGATATTGTATAAATCTAATGTGATGCGCCAGAAGATTTCTCTCTGCCATCCTCAGTTTAGTGACTGGAAAGATGCTTAGGCATTCCCCGTCAGAGACTTATCCCTTTGGTTAGTACAGGGCTTAACAAGTTCAACACTGCTGGCATTCCCAGCCAGGCAATTCCTTGTTGTCTGAGTCTGTCTTGAACTGTAGGTCATAGCCATATCCCTAGCCTCCGTGCACTAGATGATAGCAGGAATTCCAAGAAGTTGCAACCTAAAATATCTTAAGATATTGACAAATGGGGCTGGAGAGATGGCTCAGCGGTTAAGAGTTCTTCCAGAGGACCCAGATTCAATTTCCAGCACCCACATGGCAGCTTACAACTGTCTGTTACTCTAGTTCCAGAGGATCTGATATCTTCACCCCAATGCACATAAAATAAAGATAAAAATAAATTATTACAAACAAACAAAAAACACTAAGTGTTTTAAGATATTGCCAAATGTCTTCTGGGGAGCAAAGCAACAAGACTGAGAATAACTGGATAAGGTTTTGTTCCCAATGACATCCCAAACACTGGAGAAGCTCACTTCTCATCTATTAGGTGTCATTTCTCGGTGTCTAGCAGCCCTTTGGGCTGGCTAAGGACATCAGTTGGCTAAGGGAAATGTGAGGAAGAAGACAGGAATATTTAGAGGGACCCACTCACACCAGTTCTCTTTGGGGATTACTCATGGGCTGTGGGGAGAAGGGTATTTCAGCAAGCCTCTCTGAAGGAAGCCTGGGAGAAGAGCCCTTCACACCTGGGAGTCTCCCTGTCTGATATTGCCCAGTGGACATTGATATAAGTTTCTGGGATGGGGCTGAAGAGATGGCTCAGTGGTTAAGAGCAGTGACTGCTCTTCCAGATGTCCCAAGTTCAATTCCCAGCAACCACATGGTGGCTCACAACCATTCATAATGAGATCTGGTGCCCTCTTCTGGCCTGTAAGGATACACGCAGGCAGAACACTGTATACATAATAAATAAATAAATCTTTGGGGGGAAAATTTTCTGGAAACTAGTAAAAAGCACAAGAGGAAAGAAACAAAGATGATGCTGTGCTCACTAAGAATGTCTCCATCCTTCCAAAGAAGGTCAGTTGGAGGGACATTACAATAGTCGTTTTGTATCAACAGGTGTCTATCTGCAGAGGGTGTTGGCTGCATTTCCCCACCTTTCTGAGTCTTGATTGAGAAAGCATCCTCACTCACATACTTACTACATACATGTACAAATAAACAAGTGAAAAAAATTCAAGTTAATCTACATGTGAAGACTGACAAGCTTTAAGATACACACACTACATAATGAAAGAAGACTGGCCACCAGCTAAAGCTAGGTAATGACAACATGGTGGACCCCACTGCTATTTCCTCTCCCTTTGGTTTGTACATGAGAAGTTTCCCTAATAAAATATAAAAAGAAGAGCCGGAATTATCTAAGGCTGCTACACACCTGCTCCTTTATGTCCCTAAGAGATCCAAGTGAGTCTAGTCCCTGCCCCAACTCCCCGGGCCTAAAAGGAAGAGAAGACACAGCTGGTCTGCTATTCAGGTATCTCCTCCCTAGCCAGGCTGCCTTGATCTTGGACTACTGAGGCAGACAGTTGCCAGCAGAGTGTAGCTGCTGGGCCAACACCCAGCGAGGAGACAGAGTGGCACATTAAGGCCAGGCAGGGCTCCTCAGTCTTTCCTAAAACTCCCTCCTGCACCAGCATTTTGTATCCCCACCCAAAGCCCGTCCTGATGTCTGATCCACCATGAAGACCGCCAGTCCTCAGGTGAACTATCTAAGAGAAGACTTCCCCTCATCCCTGAGTCCCCTGAGTCCCAAGGAAGGCAGGACGGATGCTGACATGAGCTGGGCTCTGAAAATCAGACCTGGACTGCAGGTACGTTCTGCCAGAGTAGCTAAGCAGTGCGGCAGCCTCCATTTATTCCATGACTGTGTACCTGGCATGTGGTATAAGCCAGATCATGCTAAACTCTGTGAGCCCAGACTTCATATCCAAACCAGGCAATAGGCCATCCCACAGCCTTGTAGAGAGCAGACAGACAACACAAAGCAGACATTAGTCTTCCTGGGGGGGGGGGGCTCTGTAGCTGCCTCCTGGAGGCATGGACTGAAATTTGGGGAGTGGGTTGTGGGGGGCCGGGTTAGGGAGTGGCAGCCAGTGGACCAGGAAAGAGGGGTGTGTCACAACCGCAAGCAGCTCTGAGCTCTTAACGGTGGGGGAAAGAAAGGGGTCGACAGGCTAAACAGCCTTGGACCTACCTGCACTCATCTGCCTGGCACCCCGAGGTCGGGTGCTCTGCTCCAGAGGTAGGGAACCTACACTGCCTGGGCTCTCAGGTCCCTCTGTTCAAAGAGAGTCACGGGCTTATGGACACACAAGCTGGAACTGGGCTACCCAGCCTGAGCCCGAGGTCCGCAACTCACCAGGACCTAGGTTCTCATATCTCCCCCCACTTTCCCTTTGAGAGATCCCCAGAGGGCAGAAAGGCAGGTTCAGGGCCAGCTGCGCTCTCCCCAGTGTCTTGTGGTGTGCCCAATAGTGTGTGGTGTGGGTGGGCCAGCAGGGTGGAGGCCTGATGGCTTGTTACTGTGGTAGCTTTTCTGTAAAAAGTCAGAGTGGGACAGGCCTCAGTTTCTGCCAAGTGGGGTGACGGGCCAGACGTGGCATCTGCCAGCCACCTCTGGGTGTCTCTGCTGGATGCGCTGTCAATCCCTGGTGCAGATGCAAATCTGGCACCCAGATGTCCACTGCTCTGCCTCAACATCCATGCGTTCCCGGGTCAGCTCTGCCCCAACATCCATGCATCGCGGGTCAGCCTCTGCCCGAGGCTCTTGGAGGTCAACTGGACTGATGGCTAGCTACAGGCTCTGCTGCCCCTCTTCCGCCAGCGGGTGGTCCTGATCCGCAGCCCCTCGGAGGGCCAGGCTTCAGAAGAAAGCTGGAGGCCTGGGTTCCGGGCCTGCAGCTCTCACGTGCTTTCCCGGCCACCCCCTCCCGCCCTGCGTCGAGGCGGCCAAGCCTGTTCCTCTTCCCCCGTCGCGATTGCGACAGGCCGGCCTCTGCTCCCAGAGCTCCCTGCCCCCGCCCCCGGTCGGCTCTCTCCACTCCCACTTCCTGAGCCCCGCGCTGGAGCCCTGGAGGCCAGGCCCGGCCGCTCCCGGCCCCCGGGGGC